CTTAATGCCTGGTGAACCCTCGAGCTCATGTCCTTGAATTTGGCTTTCAAGATTTCGAGCTCTGAGTCAGGGGTCGAGCTTAGCTCCATTCCTTGAGACGGGGTCGGTCGATCCAGTTGTGAGCTGATGGGGGTTCGCGATGGCATGTCTAGGTATATTATGCGGTGTTGTGTCGCAGGTCGCCTGTGTCCGTCGGTCGAAAGGGGGCCGAGCTGATTCGTGGTTGCAGGGATTCACGGGTCAGCCTAACATCACTCATCTGTCCTTGTAGGTCGGTGTGGATGGAAGCTACCGCGTCGAGTCGGGAATTCATCTACCGAGAAAGCTCGTCGTGTCGGTCGAATCGTTTCATTAGGATGCCCATCATGGAGGAGAAGTCCACCTGGGAGTCGGCGACCAGAGTTACCCCGTGCTCTTGTTTGGGTGTGGTTCTTTCAGTAGCCGTGTTAGGAGTGACAACGACGTTCTGTTGCATTGGAGTTGTATGGGTCGGCTCCGTGACTACCAGTGGGACGACCTCGTTTTGTTGTTGATCGATTGTCTCGTCCAAATTCATGTTTCTTGCGTCAGAAAAATCTCCAAGCCCCCTACCTGCCGTGCCAATTGTTCAACCAAGAAGTAGGTCGTCCAATGAATTTATAGATGTCGGGATTTCTCGTATATTGAAATATGAAGTCGGGAAAAGAGGTTAGAAAATAAAGTGTAAAAATGATAACATGTCGGACAGATCCCGACGTGTTACAGAAAATAAGAGGTCGTTAAACGGTTTGTACTTTCTGACAACGGTAGTTGACCGTAAGCTCTTTTCTGATCTGGAGAATCAAGTGTACGTTTTGCTCTTTATCCTCTAGTCCAAAGAATGTTCAGATGTCCTTTCAAGTGATGTGAGAATTTCTATTTATAGCAAAATACTATGAGTAACCTTGGTTGAGATTTGACCATAGTTAAGCTTAAATGATGCTTTATGAGTTGGGCTTCTTTGGTATTGATGGACTGAATCATTGTGAGTGACCATTCACATATCAACAACATCAACTTCCACGCCAATAAATTTGTATTTTCCTTACCTCTCAGAAATCATTAATTGATGCTAGAGGCTAGACGC